TGTGCCAGTGCCTGAGCACCCTTTCCATGAAGGATTTTCCCCAGTATCCAACCTAAACCTCCCCTGGCCCAGCCTGAGGCCGTTCCCTCCCCTCCTGTCCCTGGCAGCAGATCCCAAATCCCCCCGGCTGTCCCCTCCTGCCAGGGACTTGTGCAGAGCCAGAAATTCCCCCTGAGCCTCCTTTGCTCCAGGCTGAGCCCCTTCCCAGCTCCCTCAGCCCCTCCTGGGGCTCCAGCCCCTTCCCAGCTCCATTCTCAGCTCTGGACACGCTCCAGCCCCTCGGTGTCCCTTCCAAGGAGAACCCAGAAGTGCCCCAGGACTGGAGGAGTCCCAGCAGTGCCAGCACAGGGGACGGGCAGTGCCCCGGGCCTGTGCCCACGCTGGGACCAGCCGGGGGCCACCGGCAGAGGAACACCACAGCCCCTCCATCATCCCCCGTGAGTGCCGAACAAACCCCAAATTTCCCAGCTCCATCCACAGACACCACACCCGCGCCGTGCCTCAGTTTCCCCTGTGCCACCTCACCTTGCCGAGGGAGAGGATGGTGGAGATGGCGCGCAGGGAGAACTCCAGCACCACCAGCGCAGCCACTCGGGAGCCCACCAGGGCCAGCACAGCGCTCAGCACCAGCACATGCAGCGGCTCCAGCAGCGGCCGCTGCGCCGCGATCGCCTCCTTCTCTGCCTGCCTCTCCGGGCTGCTGCGGCCAGCGGAGGGGGAATGCTGAGCCAGGGGCGGTGGCACCCGAAATGGGGTGACACGCCTTGGTGACATCCCCCTCTGTGCCCTGCAGCAGCGGCCGCAGCCCCGAGAGCCAGCGCCCAGCAGCTGCTCCCAAAACCAACCTCCCCCCCAGGAGACCAAGGGCTGCTGCTTACTTCACGCACTGGATGTAGAGATAAACCTTCAGCAGGCTGCAGAGCACCGAGACGGCGCAGGCACCCACCAGCCCTGCGGGGAAAGGCAGCAGTGGGTCACTGGTGTCCCCTGGGCTGTCCCCAGGCCACCCTCGGGGGACTCACCTTGCAGGAGCGCGTCCAGCAGTGCCCAGCCCCACGCCAGCCCCGGCAGCGCTGGGAGCTGGGAGCCCAAGGAAAACATTTTCGATGGAGAGAAGCCACAGCAGAGCCAGGCCCCGGCTCCAAGGTCCGCGGGGCGGAGGCGGGGAGCGCCCCTCCACCCCCGGCTGGTAAATCATTGTTGGGCCAATCCAGGGCAGCTAAAGGCCCGGCCAGAGATGAGCTTCAACTGCCCCGTGGAGGTGAAAATTAGAAGAGGAATGAGATACACATGGAGGCGCTCAGGGATCATCAGCACCTGTGACCTTCCCCCATCCCAGTACCAGAGCCATTCTCCTCTCCACCCTGAGGCAGCGCAGCATTTCGGGTCCTGCCCCCTCATCTGCACCACCCCAAAGACCCCAGGACAACACCAAAAATAGAAAAACCTCTTTATTAACATCGGTGTTGGTGGTGGCAGAAGTCTGTCCTACAGCCCTGGGGGCTGCTAGTGCTGAACCATGTTCCTGAGCTTGTCCCAGAAGAAGAGGCTGAGGACGGTGTGGGGGCCGAGGCGGAGGTAGACGGCGCCGATGCCCTTGTACAAGCCCAGCAGCCCCTCTTTGCTGGAGATTTGCAGAATACAATCCAAAAAACCTCGGTAGAGCTTGCCCTGGGAAGAGAGGAGCCAGCCGTGCACCCCAGCTGGATGCGATCCAGGGAAATCCGTGCGTCCCCTTCGCCGTATCCGGAACGGCCTTACCGTGCCATCGGCGTCCACCGGCTGGTTGTAGAGACGGGTGCTGATCACATCAAAAGGCGTCATTGTCACCGCCACAGCCACACCGCTCACCATGCCCCCCGCCAGCACGGCCGCCCAGCTGCCCTTCCTGAACCACTGCGGGAAGCGCCGGCATCAGCTCTTCCCAACAATAAAAGGGACGCGGATCCGCTGGCGGCCGGGTCCGGCACCTTTCCCGCTCACCTGGCGCTCACAAACCCAGTCCTTGGCGGAGGCGAAGGTGGCGAGCTGCACAGCCGAGCCCACGGCCACGCGGGGCACGGCCCCCGTCACCCCCCGCCACAGCCCCACCACCCCGTGCTGCTGGTAGATGCTCTTGAAAGCGCCGGAGATGCTCTGGGGAAGAGAGGAAATGGGGAAAAATGGGAATGGAACATCCCACCCGGCCAAAACTTGCCACCCCTGTTGCTCATTGGTGACACGAAGCCACCGTTGGCTTTGGAGAGATCTCAGGGGGTCTGGATTCTCCAGATTCGGTATCAGCCCCACGTGCCTGTCACACCCCCTCTGTTCTCACAGTTATTTATAGCATCATTACGGGGCCGAGCGGCCAAACAACAGCTTTAAATTCCTGCTGACCAAAATAGCATCTGGGCCGTGCACAGACAGATCTGCGCTAGCAGATCCTCCGTGCGCCCCAGCCCACCCCTGTCCCCACTCACCTCATGGTTGTGCTGGTGGCCCACGGCCATGGCCGACACGGTCTGGGCTTGGAGGTGGGTCTTGACCTTGGGGGGGACAATGCCAGGTGACAAAACCCTCCGATGCCCCGCTGGGACTGGCTGTGGTCCCCCTCATCTTCTCAGCAGATTTTGAGGGGAAGTTTCAGCCCCTCTGACAGACGTTACCAAGCGCTAACTCCAGACTTTGAATCCCATCTCTTTCACCCCTCTCACCCAGGGCAAAGGGACCCTGCAAACACCCACTGCTGGAGCTCTGCGACCTCAAAAAACCAGGGAAACCCTCTAAAATGGGAGGGGGGAAACCCCCGCGGTTTCTTTTCGGGTAATTTCCTTATGGGGAACTTCTCTGCCGCTTTTCTGAGGGGATTTGTGGGACAAAGCAGGGGGAGAGCGTGCACAGCGCTTTTGGTGGGGGGTGAAGCAAAGCAGGGGAAGAGAGAATGCACCAAGCCAGTGTTTATAGGATGCAGACAAGATGCCGAAGCTTTTGGGGTGGTCCCCAAAACACCCCTCCCCACACCCCGCAGCCTTTGGGGGGGAGCAGCACTCACCAGGTACGCGGGGCTGCCCACGATGGCTCCCACCGCCCCGGCCACGGCCCCGGCGGCCACGGTCCCGCCGGGATACCCGGTCCAGCCGGCGTCCTCGGCGTGCGAATAGCAGTAGAAGCGGACGCCGTTCATGAGCCCCTGGTAGA